TAGAATGTTACTATTTGTCTCCATGAAAAAGAAATGCCAACATAATTTTACAAGATAATGAATAGATCAGATTTAGAGCCATATCGATAGGCATGGGTATATTAGAAAAGGGAACATATAAATCTTCACATATTAGATTTTTTAAGCTGATATATCTGTTCTTAAAGTAAAGGTGTAGTACACTTGAGCCCTCACCTAATCATTAATCTGTAGTAGAACTATCTATTGCTGTTTTCAGGTAAGAAAACTATTTCTAATGAATGACTAAGAGTGGAGCATTACAACATTTTGGTTAGATCCCGACTTGAAGAAAGTGGCAAAAAATGAGGCAAAGGAAGAGTAAAGAGGTGATTCATTTATACTGAAGCTGGATTAGAAACCAGTAATGTAAACCAGATTTTGTGATGTGCTAGTTGGAAGGAAATGCTCTGTGAAAAGGGGAATTTTTGGCTGTCAAACGGTGGTTCGCATAGAATCACAGAACAGAGGATATTGCTTGAAAATAGTGTAAGGTTTCTTTGAGCATCAAAAAGATTTTTGTACCAAAGAAACACTGGAAGAAGTAACAGTGATCTAAGAATAGGCAAAGGTTTTGTGAACTTATTTTCCCTCTGTAATAAATTATTATTATTATTATTATTATTATTATTATTATTATTATTATTATTATTATTATTATTATTATTATTATTTTGTTGCTGCTGTTGTTATCATCATCATCATCATCAATAATAATAATAATAATGATAATGATAATGATAATGATAATGATAATGATAATAATAATAATAATAATAATAATAATAACAGTAATAACTTAATTATAGTTGGAAAACATCTTCTATCCAGACATAAACAAAGTATGGACTGATCTATTTAGCGCAAGTTACACAAAAAGGATTTTGAGATTCATCCAACTCTAAAACTTGTTGGTGCTGTATGACAGGCATCATGCTATCAGAAAATAATTTTTTGGCTGACTAGTGCTGTGTAATTAAATTGAAAGGTTTTTCACAGACAATGTTAATATTTAAAGTGTTTAGCCTTAAAGTGGGCAAAACACAAGAGAATACAGGGCAAAAACTCCAGTTGTTCTGGGAAGCATGATAGAGATCTTCATATGTTATCACAAATTTTTATTAATCCTTTTAAGGTAAAGATCATCCACTAACCAAAAAGTGTTTTCTCAAATAAATTAGCCAGGTAATTACAGATGGGAAGTGCATGACAGTGGGTTTGCTGTACTTCACTGCAAGTATATAGAAGTAGTAGATACCTTACTATAATACTCTCCATGACAAGTAAATGTGTCTTTTCTCTTCAAATACTGAAAATGGTCTATGGTCTAAGCAGATATTCATGTACTCAGTTCCAAGCATATCTTGCTCAGTGACTTCAGGACCATGAAGTAAGGAACACATAGGAAAAGTTAGATTCCTGTTGTGCTAATGGGTCAGCAAGTCCAGAGGAATATTGCTTTTGGTGTTAGCTTTTGGGCATTTTACAGCAAATGTATAATGATCTTAAATTAATGATTAAAAAGAAACCATCATTGTTTTAGTAAGATGTTGGAAAATTTAGTCACTAGTGAAGCAAGGCAAATATGTTTTAATTATTCTTATGTATGGCTGGTTACACACATCCCTTGAGTATTTCCAGACATGCTTCCTAATCATTGGGAAACTTATGGAACTGTCTCTTGCTAATTCCACTTCAAATGCTTCAAAAATTAATAATCAATTAAGGTTTTACTTTAGAGACAAGCTTGCTTCCTAGTTAATTATTCTTAGCTCATAAAAATTGTGCTGACAAGTGGTTGAGTCATATCCTTTATGATCTTGCCAAAAGTCACACAGCAAGTGCAGGAAAGGTTGATATAAAGTGAAACCATATGCATTAACTCTACAATTAGATAATTCTCCAGATCAGTATTGGTATGAATGTGGTGCATTGTGAAGCAGTAGAAGTCACACTGTGAAAGGGTCTTCTACGGTCTTGAAGGTGAAGTCAAAGTCCTGCAGTGCTGCTATGGTGACATTGCCAATATCATCTAGTCAGTTATAATCTTCAGGAACTTGGATTTCTGTAAGAGCATTAAAATTTCTTAATAACACTCAGAGAAAAAAATGGCATGACTTTGTAAAGTACACCACACATAGACTGTAAGTCAGAAGACCTCAGCAATGTTAATATTGATTCTTGTGGATCATGCCTAGAAGAGGTCAGCTTGTGAGTGGCATCTGTATTGTGCTTCTTCCCAACTACAGGAATAGAAGTCTATTGCTGACAATGGTAAATGGATACTGTTATTCTAGATGTCTTCACAATTTTTACTGTGTATCTGATGATATGTATCTTTCCCCGTGTTTCCTACAAAATTCTAATCTCTACTGCCTCAACTTTTCTCTCTCTTGATTATGTAGTTGATAGCTGGATGTAATGAATATAGTACAGAGTTTAGACCAGAATGGGAAAATACACATGCAACCTACAGTATTCTTCTAGGTTTTGTGGCATAGCAAAATGAGTTGAAGGGATGTCTTTTTACTAGATGCTGATACACACTATCTTCTTGATAAAAGGATCATACAAATCTGTCCCATAGTAATCCCACTAGTTTCCCCAACAACAAAGTTGCTTTTGTCCCAGAGGAAGTAATCAGCTTGTCATGTTTCTAATTACTAATACTTGCCTTCAAGTTTCTTTCCTTTCAAATTATCCAATCAAATTTTGTATCATAGAGAAATTGTTCTCATATTTCACTTGATATAATTTCACTTTGATGTTAGAAGTTTCTATTTGAAAACATATATCTTTTGAGTTTCTTTCCATTTACGTCAAAATCCATAACAGATAAGAATGTATGTGAGCCTTAACTTTTACAGTTCCTTATGGTGATCTACTTATCTGTGTGGATTTGTATCAATATGGTTTTTTTAGAGGGATGAGGTGTTTATATTATTTATATGCCGATAAAATGCTTGTTTTCAGAAAAGTTATTTATATGTGCACTAATAAATGCATGTAATGGATTTACCAACCACTCAAAATTCAACTAGCTCACAACAAAGTTAAGGTAACCTGAGGAAGAAGTTGATTGTTCTTTATTATAGACCATTTGGCCAAGATGAAGAGGCAGATAAATTATTTTATAAGCACCTTGGAGAAGTCTCATGGTCACTGGCCTTTGTTCTTGTGGGGGACCTAAACTTACCATATGTCTGAAGGAAAATAAATACAGCAGAGAGTAAAATCTAGAGGGTTCTTGGAGTGTGTGGAATAGAACTTCCTGACACAGCTGGTGAGTAAGCCAACCAGGGGACATGGCCTGCTGGACTTCCCATTTATAAAATGAGAAGGACTTGTTATTATTGTGATTGTTGGAGACTTTCTTGGCCACATCATGAAATAGTGTTTTCAATTGTCAGAAAAGTAAGGAGGGGCATCAGCTGAATGACCACCTTAGACTTTCAGAAGATAGATTTTGGCCTGTTTTGGACCATGGTTGAGACTTTCCCTGAGGAGGCAGTCCTGAAGGGTAAAGGACTCTGGTAGGGCAGGACGTGTTTTAAATAGTAAATCTAAAAGACAGAGGAGAAGCCAATGCCCATATGCCAAAAAGATAAGATGGAGTAAGAATACTAGTCTGGCTGAACAGAGAGCTTTGGCTGGAACTCAGGACAAAAAAAAATGAGAGTTTATGACCTTTGGAAGAAGAGATAGATAACTTAGGAGGACTACAGGAATGACACGATGTTCAGCAGTGAGAAAATTTGAAGGACCAAAGTCCAACTAGAACTTAATTTTGCTACTACCATACAAAACCCTAAAATCAACCAAAACCAGCTTCTATAAATACATCAGCAACAAAAAAAGGGTTAAAGAGAATCTTCATCCTTTATTGCATGCAATGGGACAGATAGGGACAAAGGATGAGGAAAAGGCTAAGATACTTGATGCCTTCATTTCCTCAGTATTTATTGGTAAGGTTGTTCTCAGGGTACTCAGCACTCTGAATTGGAAGAGAAGGAAGAGGAGCAGAATGAAGCCCCCATAATTTAAGTGGAAGTGGACAGAAACTTGCTATTTCATATAAAGCCACACACATCACCTGACCTTACTCCCACTAGCCATTCTTTTTATGACAGCCTCAGAAGAAGTTCCCCTTGCTTGCTTGTTTCTATTCCATTCATCAGTTAATTTTCTTTTAAAATCTTTGCTAAGAGTAATAGCAATGAATTTAAGAAGAAAGAAAGATACAGAATATCAGAGCAATTTATGATACTGGATTTACTGTTTGAAGTGGAAAATATCCTCTCAGTAAAGGGAAATTACCTTACAGATTTTCATATTGGTAAAAAATTGGTAAAAAAAATCTTTTAGATGAACATTTTGGTGTAAATATAGGAAGTCTTTGTACCAAAAGTAACAGATGTTGATTCTAATACTTTCTGTTTTCCAACCATTTTTACCTTTTCTGACCTTTCTAGGGAAGATATTTCTGTTTCATTAGTTCCTCTCTCAAGATAAATAATAAAAATTTGCCTTACTTCTCTTCAATTAGAGTGTTAAGCTTCAAATTCAACAGTCAGGTTATCAGCTTAAGCAAGAATACATGAGGAGATGTAATAAGTAATTGGAATCTGAAAAACAGAAGGAAAATATTATTCCAAAATAATCACTTAGAGCCATAGTTATTTCTTATAATTTGTTGTATTTTTATTTCCTAATTCAATACATGTGGACTGAGGTGATTCATAATGCTATTGTATTCCATATCTACCTGTACCCAAAAGTTGTTATTGTATGTTTAAGACACTACAAATGAGAACCTTGTGTGTGTAAGGGATGCTATCACTGGCATTTATTGAATTGGTGATCCCAGGCAGTTTCGGAGTCTTTGCCATGTGGCATTTGCTTCACAGGCTGCTTTGCTCGCGCAAAGGTTTTTTCTTCCCTTTTTGTGTTTGCTTTTGGTTTTTTGTTTTCTTTTTCTTCAGATCAGAGAGGCTGCAGTTAGCAGTTTTGACCTGCCTTGGGACGAATTCTACAGGTGCCTGCCCACAGTTGAGGCATCGTGCTAACAGCAGCAGAACATCCCTGGCTCCAGTCTGGGTCACTATCTAGAGTGCTCAGCCAAGAAGAGAAAACACCAAGTGGCTCCAGCTCAGCTCCTTCACCTGGCCCTGGCTGCTCTGCTGTCCATGTCTGTGGGGAGGAGGTTGACTCCAGACAAGCTGTTGGACGGTCATCTGCTGCTGGAACTGCTCTGTGTGGCTCCTGCCTTCCCAAAAGGGATCTGACACTATCTCTTCCCTTTTTCTTACAGGCCTGAGGCTGTCCCTGCCCAGTGCTAACTTGGGGAGGGTATTTCTGACATTTCAGGTCTCTCTTTGTTCCTGTGGGGTTGGGGCGTGAGTTTTTAGTAGTTTGGTATCTAGGAGTAATTTTTTTTCTCTTGCCTGTCTTTCTGTTAGTAAACATTCTTTTTCAGTTATATCTACTCATATCCAGTCCTTTTTGGTGGAAAGGGATTGGTTGAATGTATAGAGGGAGGCAACTCATTCCAGAGTGTTCTTCTTCAAATTGTACTTATCTCAAATCAAGACAACATCACAAAAAAAAAAGAAAAAAAAATTTCAAAATTGATTTAACAAGCTAACAACATTACCCGTTGTTAGACTTATGCCTATGAAGTAGTGCTATGTGAGAGAGTATTACATGCTCCTACTAAAGAATATATTTCTGTAGGCCTCTTAGCAGAGTCTTCACAACATTTCCTAAATGAGACATCTTATTGCTGTATCACAATGGACTTCCAAAGAATTCTGTCTATTGCAAGGTTTCAGCCTTCAATGCCTCTCGTGCAGAAGCATTAGTTGCTTAAATAGAATGTTGTAAGCATTTCTTAAAATGTTTATTTACTCTAACTGCCTTTTTTCGACAACAGATTTAGTTTTGTATTTCAAATCAAGCTGGATAATACTGTATCTGACAATGCTACTAAGTGAAATGACCAAATGTACCATAAACCAAGTATGTGAAAGGGTATAATGTTTCAGAATCAGAACCAAGAGATTAACATTTTTATGCTAAGCTTTGTAAAATTTCACCTGCAAGCAGACACTAGGCCTGCACTATTAGGCACGAATGCTTAATTTCATAGGAGTTAGATGTAGTTTTAATAGTTCTTCAAAATTAAACATGCAGATAAATTTAGGTATAATTTCTTACTCTATCTGCATCAATGGCCAGCAAAAATTAGTGTTTCTTTTACATTAGAGAGCCTTTTATTTTGTTGATTTTTTAAAGTCCTCGTTCTTCATGAAGAAAAGCTACAGGGTACAATAACTATACATCCTTGACATGGCATGGAGCTGGATATGATTTCTGTAGGGAACGTCAGTATGTTCAACAGGCTCTCTAATTGTATTTATTTTATTTTTTATATAAGGAGAACGCCAGTTTTATTCCCACTCTTAAGTTTTTCAGGGAAGCAATTAATAGATTTTTATTTTGATACATTTTTTAAAAGCAAAAAGAAAATAGAAACCGTTGTAGCCAATCACTGTATGTTTTCTATCACTCTAGGACTGAGAAACCCATTTTTCAGGCAGAACAGGGCTTTAAAGTTATATTTTGGAGTTGTAAGGAAGAACTCTAGGTCTTTCCTCTTCAGCCTTCTGGGACTTCTCTGGCTTACCCTTGGTCCCATTCTGATGCTGAATGAAATAAAGTGAAAATGTTTTAATTTCTGTTGATTGGTACATGTCCATTTCAAAACTCTGACTTTGTTCACTGAAGCTGGTGCTTCACATGTTTTCTTTGAGGAAAAATCATTGATGTATTAAGAATAGTCTGGTGAGAACAATGACTCCCATTAATGAGTGGCATATGCATATTTGTTCCTGTTGGTTTTGATGTTACTATATTCAAAGGATTTTAACCTTTAAAATTCAGTGAGGTGCTAGAGTGGTTGCAGATATTTCCATGATAGGCCTTGAGAGTGATTTGATCACAGAAGATCAATGAGGGTAAATGCCTTAACTGTTGCCTTGTTATATTTGTGCCATTAGAAAATCAAACCTGAAATACCTAAAAAGCAGGTAACCAGAACAGTGCATATCTTGTGCTTTTCAGCCTGGTACTCTGTGCATGCTTTACAGCTATAATCTGGATATGCCAATGAATTTTCCTCTGTGTTGGTTTTGCAATGTCAGAGTGTTTTAATCTTCAAGTCTGGAGTTTTGAAAGATGGCCAGGAAGAAAAAAAGCAGGAACAAAGAGAAGGAGAAACTACTGAGTTTGTATTATCAAGTCCTTTCTATTGCTTCCCTGGCCTCTGCTTTGTGTCACTTTCAGCTGCTGAGCATTTCTTAAACAAAGAGCATTTTACACTACCACTATGTTCTTTTTTCTTCAAAAGTGAAACTGCCAAACCACACTTTGACAAAAGAGAATTTCCCTTATCAGAATACAGCAAGTCAGTGTAAGTAGGTAGTGTGAGAAGCACCTCATCTACAAGATGCTGTTAAACACAAAATTAACAGTTTGACCCTCCATTACTCTGTAAATATATATTCTTCCCTGTATGAACTGAGCTTTATTGTTCACAGATAATGAAGTCCTTGAAAATACTTTGACTTTTCTAGCTGTTTATTTTATGATAATTTCATAAAGCAAGAATGGTCATTATACAGTCTCACACAATTTAATTTTATGACAAGTAGTGGACTCAAATTTACAGAGATATAGATCAAATAATTCAAACAGTATAAATTTGAATGCTTCCTATAATCACAAAAATATTTAGTAGAATAAATACTTGGCTATGCTTTGCATATCTGTGCCTGCAGCTTGTAACTAGTACTTGGCCCTCAATCCCTTCACACACTATGCACTCCAAATCTGTGCATCTCTTGATTGTGTGGCTGTGTGCTGTGTTTACACCATAGTATATCTGCAATGATAATACCATCGTTTGTTGTAAACATTAGAAGATCATATAATATAACACTCTTTCTGTGTAGTTATGATAATTGTTTTTTGGTGTCATATGTTTCATCATTTTATGATTTTGAGTTTTGGCATAATATGCTCGTATAATCTCCATGCCTTGCATTTTTTCAAGATAAGTTCTTTTTTGTTCAAGTGCTAATGGCACTTTGGACCTAATCCAGAACTGTTGTTTCACGAGTTTGTGGTCACATTTTGGAAGTGCAGGAATAACAATAACATCTTTGTTCTACCACAACTGCCAGTTTCACTAGGTTCTAGTAGAAAAAAGTGTCTATTATTCCTCCTTTTGCTTGGTTTTGTTAGTCATAGCTCTTCAGTCTTTGTTTCGACTTTTTTTTTCACTCCCTGTTCATCTCTTCCTTCCAGCCTAATTATTGCCACATTTCTGGGAACTGAGAGGATTCAGTTATTCTAGTAATCTAGGACTTGAAAAACAACACAGTTAGAACCCATTTGCATGATGACTAATTTCCACTCTTTGTTTTAAGAGCTAAAAAATCCTTTCTACTTATACTTGTACAGAAAGGAAGAGCTCTTCCTTCTTAATGAGAACTTACAGGAAATGTATCCTGAATATGTTACCCTGATGATACTAGAAAAGGAGGATAGAAGGACCGACTTAGCTTGAATATGAGCACACTGCGGAACTAACAAATTATGAATCACCTTCATCATGCATGCAGTGTGAACTGTGACTGAAATATCTCACAGTTAAGGGGGGATAATTCTAAGATAGAGATCAATCAAACAAACGCCATCAAGAATCAAATTTGTTTGGACAGCAAGCAGATAGGGTTGACAGGTGCTGTGATGCTGGTAGTGATTCTTTTTCTTGAGTGAACAAGAGAAGAGAAAACTGCACAACTAACTGTTGTTGAAGTGCAGCTGCTTATTGACTAAATAATCAGTTTCACTATTTTCACTTGTTAGCTATATTTGAATATATTGTGAAACAATATAACAGGTTAAATTCAGTTCTGAGATTATATTCTAAACACCAGGTTTCATCTTCCATTAGTTGAAATGCATGAATACTTTTAGCATTTTGTAACAGTATCTCATGGCTTTCATCTCACTCTTTCACTAGTAGAAATTGAGATATATTGTGTACATACACCCTTCTAGATGTAGGTACAAATGTAGGATTGATAATTTGTTAATTAGAAATTATTTTCATGAAAATTCAAAGAAATTAGATGTTTGGGGAACATATCAACTCTGATAAAGGCTTTTTTTTTGGTGTGGGAGGAGTAGGCTGGTGGGTGCGGGAAAGAATTCTCATTTGCAGACAGGAATATCTAATCCAGGATCAGCTCTCCCTTTTTATGACTTTGCACTCACTATCATGAGACAAATCAGACTTGATTAAACATGCACAGTGATTAAACATACACTTATTTGTGTCTGTATAGCATGAAGTGTTACACAGTCATGTGTAAAACACTTCAGAACTATGTTGCATAAAATGGAAAAGTACACAAATGTGTATGGAAAGTTATGTTTCAACCATTTTGGTTGAAATTTATTAACATTGCCTCACACTGAAATGTCAGTTTAAGTGCAAATGTATATTTTTTTTCTTTTCTGGTCATATTCTATCTCCATACAACAATATGTCTTTTACTTTGTATAAGTTACATATCTACAGTACTTAAAATGTTACATGAAGAACTTGTTTTGTGGGGTATTTTCCATGCAGAGTAGGAGGATAGAAGAGTTTCAGCTGGATAAATCTGTAGAAATGAAGTGTGCTTTCTCTAACTCCGAGATGAACCATCTGATGTGAGCACATCCCTTTTTGTAACTCATAGCAACTAAATTTATCTTAGAATTTTGGGTTGCATTTTTGTAGTAGTTTTGGTTCACCGATTTCAGATTTCCTGGCCAATTTTCTCATTGAAGAGTATACTAATTCATCTTTCCTGTCTTCTGCAGACTTTATAGTATAAAAAATTTTGACATAGACTTAGTTTTGCTGAATGAAGTCTCAGAAATTGAGCCTTTCAGTCATGTTTCATCTCCTAATAAATAAAAAAGTGTCTGCTATGGGTCACTCATCTATATCAAGCAACAGCAACCACCTGACAACTATAGAGCATATGTCCTACCAAGTACTCTTCCAGCCACTGAGTATTTTCACTCCTTGAGATTTCTTGATCCTGTTTTAGTTTGGTAGCTCTCACTGCAATTTCCTCTGTAAGTACTTGTCTGATCTCTTCTGCAACCCATGAAAAATCCCAAAATCACAGTATTCAGTGGCAACACATCCCAAAAGTCTACTGCCTGTTGCATGAAGAAAAACTCAATTGTTATTTGTTTTGCTGTTTTTGCCTGATTTTAACCCACATATGTCAGTACCTCTTTTGAAGACCGGGAGAAGGAGAACACCTAGAGACAACCATTTTAGCCAGTCTTGTGCAGCTGGGTCTTTGATGGGCTGACAACTCCTGGGATGGTATTAATTGGGTACCCCCAGCTGTTACTGCCTTTTGCCACATAGCCTTATATCATCTGTCCAGGTCCACTGCACTTGCCAGAAACCAGAATAAAATTAATAGATTGTATTTCCCCTTTCAGAAAGGTTTTTAAGCAACTACAGGTTGCTTAAAACAATATGTTGTTTGATATATTTTCATGTATGCTTCTTTGTGCTTACATGTAAAGTCCACCTTGGAAAGTTTACCTTTTTAATTTGTTAGTGAAACAAAAAAAAAAAATCCTAATGTTTAAGTTCATCAGATTTGACGACTTTGTATTTCTCAATCTTGCTATTAAACATCAGAGTGGGGAAATGTCAGAATTTTTGTAATTTTGGCAGCTGAGTAATATTTTGCATTTTCTCTGCCTCTGCTGGGCATCATGTCAAAATCAGAGAATACAATTTGGCAACTGTGTTTGGTTGTTACAGGAAATTTATAGGAAAAGAAACAGTTAATTGAGAGAGGAAAATTTTGCAAGATGTAAGTGTATAAAGAGGCCCCTCCTTTGGTGATGAAAAATTTTTTAAACTCTAAAATTGTGTTGTACCTATACACAAGCAACATTCTTTTCAACATTTGCAACTTAAAATACCTTCTTTAATATTCAGTGCAAGGTTCACTTTATACAATAAAACCAGAAGTACAGCAGGATAGTATAAACAATGCTTACCACTATTTTGGATTATGTGGGACTTTTTTCCTGTCTACATTTAGAAAAATAATTATCATCTATGGAATAAAATTACTTTTTCCAACTCTGTGATTATATTTATTTGGTCTGAAGTTTGATTCATAGCTTAGGTGTTTTTGAGTGCTTCTGAAAAAAAGGGGGAAGGGGATTAAGCCCAGCTCTCCAGGGTGACAAACCAGACTCAACCCTGAAATCAGCCCAACTGAAGTGGATGTGCACTAAGGCATGCAGCATGGGTAAAAAATGAGAGCTAAAAGCCATTGTACAGAAGGAGAGCTGTAATGTAGTATCACAGAAACCTTGTGGGATGACTTTCATGACTGTACTGCTAAAATGGATGGCTACATGCTCTTCACAAGAAACATGAGAGGTAGGAGGGGTAGCTCTATTTATTATGGAGTCTCTTGACACTGTAGAACTTGAGGTTAATTGACAATAGGGCTGAATGCCTATGGGTAAGAATCAAAGGGAAGTCCAACAAGGCTGGCATGCTGGTGGGGCTGTTATAGACCACCCAAGCAGAATGAAAAAGTGGATGAATTTTTCTATAAGCAGCTGCAGGATGTTCCAAGATTGCCAGCATTTGTTCTTGCAGGAGACTTTAACCTTCCAGATACCTGCTGGGAACTCAACTCAGTGGGGAAGAGGGAGTCTAGGACATTATTAGGGTGTATGGAGGAGAGCTTCTAGTCTCAGCTGGTGAGTGAGCCTACCACAGGTGAAGGTCTGCTGGGCCTGCTGTTTACAAGCAGAGAAGTCCTGTTTAACACCTTTTTTGATGATCTGGATGACAGGATTGAGTCTACCAATTAGAAAATTTGCAGATGATACCAAGTTGGAGGAGATTGTCAATCTGCTGGGGGGTAGGAGAGCTCTGCTGAGGGACCTGGACAGGCTGGATTGATGGGCCAAGTCCAAGTGTTATTAAGTACAGGTTCTGGGTCCTGAACTTTGGCCACAAAAACCCCCTGCAGCGCTACAGGTTGGGGACTGAGTGGCTGGACAGAGGCTAGGCAGAAAGGGACCTGAGGATACTGATTGATGGCAGATGGAACATCTAACACAGTTAGAATTATGGACCAGAGGCCAAGGTCATTGGCAACTTGAGCTGTATCAGGAATAGTGCGTCCAGCAGGACGAGGGAAGTGCTTCTTCCCCTATACTCACCAGGTGAGGCTGTACCTTGAGTACTGTGTCCAGTTCTGGGCCCCTCAGTTTATGAAGGATGTTGAGATGCTTGATTGTGTCCAGAGAAAGGCAATAAGGCTGGTGAACTGTCTGGAACACAAATTCTATGACAAGTGGTGAAGGAGCTTGGGGTTGTTTATTCTGGAGAAGATGAGGCTCAGGGGAGACCTTATCATTCTTTACAACTGCCTGAAAGGAGGGTGTAGCCAGGTGGGGGTCAGTCTCTTCTCCCAGGCAATCAGCATCGGGACAAGAAGACACAGTCTTAAGCTGTGCCAGGGGAAGTTTAAGCTGGACATTAGGAAGAAGTTTTTCACAGAAAGAGTGATTGGGCATCAGAATGGTTTGCCAGTCTGGGGAGGTGGTGGAGTCTCCATCCTTGGAGGTGTTTAACAAAAAAGTGTAGGTGACACTTAGTGCCATGGTCTATTTGGCAAGGTGATGTTAGGTCATAGGTTGGACTTGATGATCACAAAGGTCTTTTCCAACCTAGCTGATTCTGTGATTCCATATCGTGGTCCTCTTATGTGGAGACATGTGAGCCTACTGGGAAAAGGGCTGTGGCAATACCCTGCAGGGATGCACCATAGACTCTGGGCATCCCCCATAGGGTAGGGTGAGACAGAAGTTTTCCGCCATAGTGCTCTGCACCACTATGCTAATTTACCTCAGTTCTGTATTCCCCACTGGCCCATTGGCTATCCCTACCCCTTTTACCCCTTGTAAAAGGGTCTTGTTCTAGAATATTCACAGAATTCACAGAATGACTAGGATAGAAGAGACCTTTAAGATCATCGAGTCCAACACCTCAACCAAACCATGACACTGTGTGCCATATCCCTGTCTTTTCTTAAACACATACAGGGATGGTGACTCCACTAGCTCCCGGGGCAGACCATTCCAGAACTTTATCATCCTTTCTGTAAAAAACTTCTTCCTAATATCCAACCTATATTTCCCCTGGCACAGCTTAAGACTGTGTCCTCTTGTTTTGTCAGTTGCTGCCTGGAGAAAGAGACCAACCCCCATGTGACTACAGCCACCTTTCAGGAAGTCGTAGAGAGTGATAAGGTCACTCCTAAGTCTCCTTTTCTCCAGGCTAAACAACCGCAGCTCCCTCAGTCATTCCTGATAGGGCTTGTGTTCCAAGTCCCTCCTCAAAATAGCTGTCCTTCTCTGGATGCACTCAAGCATCTCAATGACCTTCCTAAACTGAGGGGCCCAGAACTGGACACAGTACTCTAGATGCAGCCTCACCAGTGCCGAGTCTAGGGGAAGGATGACCTCCCTGCTCCTGCTGGCCACATTATTCCTGATACAGGCCAGGATGCCATTGGCCTTCTTGGCCACCAGAGCACACTGCTGGCTCATGTTCAGCCAGCTGTTGACCAGTACCCCAAGGTCCCTTTCTGCCTGGGCACTGTCCAGCCACACTGTCCCCAACCTGTAACATTGCAAGGAGTTATGGTCGCCAAAATGCAGGACTTGGCACTTGGATTTATTAAACTTCATCCTGTTAGACTCTGCCTATCCATTCAACCATTCCAAGTCTCTCTGCAGAGCCCTCCTGCCTCCTAACAGATCGACACATGCTCCTAGCTTAGTGTCGTCTGCAAATTTACTAATGCAAGACTCAATCCCCTCATCCATGTCATCAATAAAGATATTGAACAGAACTGGTCCCAGCACAGACCCCTGAGGGACACCACTGGTAACTGGCCACCAGCTGGATGCAGCACCATTCACCACCACTCTCTGGCCCCAGCTATCCAGCTAATTCTTAACCCAGCAAGAATGCTCCTGTCCAAGCCAGTGGGCTGCCAGCTTTTCCAGGAGTATGCTGTGGGAGACAGTGTTAAAGGCCTTGCTGAAATCCAGGTATACAACATCAACAGCCTTTTCTGCATCCACCAGGTGGGTCACTTGACCATAAAAGATCAGGTTGGTCAAACATGACCTACCGCTCCTAAACCTATGCTGGCTGGGTCTAATACCCTGGCCATCCTGTAAGTTCTGTGTGATGACACAAAATAAACTGTTCCATAACCTTACCGGGTACTGAGGTCAGGCTAACTGGCCTATAATTGCCAGGATCCTCCTTCCCACTCTTTTTATGAATGGCCATCACACTGGCCAGCTTCCAGTCATCTGGAACCTTGCCAGTGAGCCAGGACTGCTGGTAAATGAGGGAGAGCATCTTCACAAGCTTATCTGCCAGCTCCCTCATCACCTTGGGATGGGTCCTATCTGGTCCCATGGATATATGAATATCCAAGTGGCTCAGTAGTTCTCTGACTGCGTCCTCTAATGGGGGGGGACCTGATATTATTGAGTAACCCAAGAGGACGGTTATCCCGAGTGTAAGTCTTCTCACTAAAAACTGAGACAAAGAAGGTGTTAAGCATCTCTGCCTTCTCCTCATCTACAGTAACAAAGTTCCCTTCTGCATCTGATAAAGAACAAAGGTTAGTCTTACCCTTCCTTTACCATTCATGTATTTATAGAAAGTTTTGTTATATTTTACAAAAGTCACCATTTTAAGTTCAAACTGAGCTTTAGCCTCCCAACTTTTCTTCCTACATATCCTAACAGCTCTCTTAAATACTACCTGAGAAACCTGACCCTCCTTCCAAAGATATTACATAGTTTTTTCATTCCTGAGTTCCTCCAAAATCTCCTTGCCCATCCAGGCTGGATGTTTGCATTGGCGACTTGTCTTTCGGAACACACGGACAGTCTATTCCCCACTCCCTGTTTCCTCATTGGTTAATGTAACCCTGTCTGTCTACCTTGGCACTCCCTATTGGCTCCTGCCCTTTGTACTACCCCTATGCCCTCAGTTGATTGGCCCTGATGCTTTGCTTCAGCCTGTCTTTCGCATATTTATACTCTGGACCCTCTGCTGTCCATCATCTTCTGTCCCTGGATGCCTTCAGTGCCAGAACCTAATAAACCCTCTCTGGAACCCCATACAGAAGATGTTCCCATGTCACACCTGCCTGCTAGCTGTGGTGTGCTTGAGTGTGTTATTGTCATGTGCCTGCCCAAATGTTCTCCCTCTGAGAACGCTTGCGGTGAAGGTAGTGGCACAGACCACCTTGCCTCGCTGCTACAACTCTTAAAGGTATGATGCTGAGAATACAGAAAATGATAGAATTTTCCACAGTGTAAAATGTTTTGACTGGAAATAATTTGATGATTTTGTGTGTACATTGTGCTTCTTTTTATGAGAATAAACTTGGAGAAATTGAGGTTTGGAATTCAGAACTCTTTCTCATTTACTGTTAAAACATTTACTTTGCAGGGTGATGTCCAAATGAATAAAGTTTATCTTAATGTGTTCTTAAAGGCCTGAAGTGTTGAACAGCACAGCTACTCAAACAAATATCTTCCAGTGATTCACCTTTTTAAGGTTTTTTGCACCCTAAAGTTTAAACCTAAATCTTTCTCTAGCAGAAATAGAAAGAGTACTATGTCTTACCTTTTTCATAAAGATTTGATTTCTAGATTTGAAAATTATTGTCATGCATCTACTTAGGCTCCTCTAATTTTCTTTCAGTCCTCTTGTAGGTTATACTTTTACAAAGCTCTTACCTTCCCTTCTTGCTAAGCTTTGGACTTTTAAATCTTCTGCAATATTTTTAGATTATGTTACACAAAATAATGCATACAGCTCAATGTGAGACCTTTCTATCTATTTGCATGTCTAAGATGGTGTTTCTCCGGCTTTCTGCCTTTAAGTATTATTACATTACCCTTTTCTACCTTCTGATTTCTGTACCTTTTATATCTCATCTGTATCTTACTGTTTTTCAGACCATGTGTTGAGTTAGCCCAAGTAATTTTGAATTCTATTCT